GGGAGCCGCGATCGGCCAAACCTGCGGATGCGGCAGGTAAACAAACTGGCCCAGCCTGCCAGGGGCTTTCCCTAAACAAGTGGCGTCCAAAGTTTGGGAAACACTGTATTATTGCATTCCTTTATTTTTCACTCTTTCCATTTGGTTCATTCCATTTATCTCAGTTCCTTTTCTTGCTTTCTCATTTCCATCTACAAACTTTTTTGCATGGCTCGCTCTCATTTATCTCCTTTTCTTGACTTGAAAAGCAGCATATTTTTTCTTCTTATCCTTTCCTATTCACCTCTGTTATTTTATGTGTTCTCCCTTACTTCCCTTTTTTTGTTCTTTCTTCTTCTTCTCTCCACATTATTTTATTGATTCTTCATGATCCCTTCTCCCTCATTTCTCTTTCTGTCCCATCGGCTCCTCCTCGAATTCCTATATTCCTTCTCCCGCAGATCCAACCCTCTTCCTCTTCGCCTTATGATGATGCCTCTTTCATCCATGTCTCCTCATAGGAATTTATTCTTCCACTAATTCCTAAGAAGGGTTGTTGCTTCTGAGGGCGAAAAGGCCAGGTTGATTATTCTGCCCCATACATTCACAATTAAGCTTGTTGGACTGATACATTTTTTGACAACTTTGAGCTCAACATTTATTTTCATAGCTGACTTTGAAACCTCTGAATACTGTAGATTCTAACAGGAAATGCTAATGGGTCATTAATGATAATAATGACTTATTATATAAGAAGGGTAGGCTAGGTCAATAAATTCATGAGATAAAGCACAGTAGCTAGGAACCTACCCTGAAGTTTTTTCTTGCTGATATAAATGATGTGATGTAAATTCTTAGCCCATAAGCCAGCTTCATATTGCTTTAATGCCATAGGACTGTACCCTTTTGAACTGTATTGTTGCAAACCTCCTATTATTATGGCTGAGGTCTGTGGTAGACTATCCGCAGCTTCATTAGACACTAATGGAAATGTAAGGCTTTAGTAATTCAGCTCTTTATAGAGGCACTGGGTGTTGGACAACTAAAGACCTACATATCAAATAAAGAATACATCCCTCATTGATTAAGAGGAATTGGGGCCTACACTGTTAGTCCCAGAAACCCACCATCAAATTCTGCTCTCCTGAGCGCTCTCTCTCATGGTCTTCCCTTAGTTACGCCAGCCCCTATGGTATGTACATTCAAGTTCTCCCATCTATGTTTTCTCACTGATTCCTCTTCTCAAGCTTCCCCTGCAGTTTCCCTCCTTTCCAGTTTCTCCGCTTCCATTTTCACAACAACACTACATGGACTCAGCTCTCTCGCTAAATCTCACATGTCCCTGTCTCGCACTCCATTTCACTATAGTAACAGACACACAGCCCTAGAGAATAATGCACTAGGGCATGACTAGGCAAGGAGGCAGAGTTAATGGGAGTCTAGCAACCAAAGTCCTCCACATCAAGTTGAGAGAATTTCCCTATATCTGCTTATGTTCTTATTCAAGCATAGACATGAGTGGTCTGTCTGCATTTCTTTAGGCCAGATTCCTGAATCACATGATTTCCTTCTTTTCTTTCTTCTCCTTCCCTGATGGGTCATGTGGGCCAAGGAAACAGCCAGTTTGTCAGTTTGTTTAAATGTTAATGTATTACTCTTTTCTTTTGAGTAATCTAGTTTTTAATTGTTCTAAAACTGGCTCTGTCTGCATCTCACAACTTTCCTGCATTTCATTTACTGTTTCTGAAGTTGACAAACAGCAGTTTGAGACTATTATTTTTTCTATTGAGGTAGTGTCTAATGGCCTCAGTAAGGATTGGACTTTCATTGTATTAGACCCTATACAAAAATCGAGGAAAACATAGTCCCTTTCCCAAAGAATTCACAAACGAGGTCCCAGATTCTGCAACTGGATCTAAATGGGCAGACCCATGGGCCCATGTGTTGGAGCTCACTGAAGTTAGTGGGGCTCATGAATCCAGCTGCTGTATCAGGGCCCAAGTTCTTTAAGAGAAAGATTGTGCTCCTTTTAAGGAGTATGGCTTGTTACACTTGTCACAGAAGAGACTATTTCTCTTAGCGCAGAACCGATATCTAGATTCCCAAAGAGATTTTCACCACCTCACTTGGAAAAAAATTGCTTAAATGGAAATTGATGAGCCCAGCACTTAAAAAGTATGTTCTTGCTTTTATACTTTTCTTTTTGTTACCAACAACAGTAAAAAATGGCATACAAATTAAATAAAATTTACCTGAAGAAAATGCATATTTAGTGCACACCATTAAAAATTCTTTAGAAAATACCATCTACCACCATCACTAGGGAGTCACAAATGTTGACTTTTTTATTACATCCACTGTAATAATAAATCAGTATTAAAATCTGTGCATGTTATACATCCATGCAGGGAGGAGACCTACAGGAACTGCCAGATACTGCAGGAGGAACATGTGGTGACGTGGCTACCTTGTCCCCAGGGAGCCTTCTCTACCTTACACTGATAGGGCCCCATCTGTTTGGCTGTTTGATGGAGGTGGGATGGAATGAGTTCACATTAACAAGGGGGAATGCAGCTTAACAGACTTCTGAACAGCTAGGAGGAGGAAGGGATGAGTTTGCAAAGATTAATTATTAGAAAAGGGGTAAAAATACTCACAATTGAAAGTAGTTAACAGGTAAAGTAAATTAAAAAAATAGCACTCTGCTGATATGCTGTATCTTTTTCCTCCATCTGCTGCCACCTGCTTTGTTGTTGTTGTTGTAGACTGTAATCTTTTTAGGTCAAGGACTATGTCTTCCTATGTCTGTACATATTGTCTGTATGCATACTGCATATAGTTTGTGACATGAGCATCTGTATAATATATTTTATTGTTTTCAATGTACAGAAGGTCCTTGTCTGGTACACACAATTACTGGAGATTTGCTGAGAGCACTTGAAGGGACTGAAAACTGCTTGTACCCTCGCTTAATTTCAGTATCTAGTGAAGGCCACTGCATCATCTACTATGAGCGAGGACGGTTCAGCAATTTCAGCATTAATGGCAAACTCTTAGCTCAGATGGAGATCAGTGACTCAACCAGGGTAAATCTAAATGCAAACAACCATTTGACACAGCAGTTCTTTTTTAAAATAAATGGAATGTATTTGCAATGTTACTTAGAGAAAATACAGAGGTGAAAGTGGGCCGGTATGGGCTGGTACGGCATACCAGTAAGAAGTGGCCGCCGGTACCGGCCCACACACAGCCCACGTTAAAGCACCGACGGGTAGGCACCCTACCAGCAGGGTTGCCGACAGGGGGGCACAAAAGGGGCAGCTGCCCTGGGGCCTGGCGATTTAAAAGGGCTCGGGGCTCCCGGCCGCTGTTGCCCCTACCGTGGCAGTGGCCGGAGCCCCGGGCCCTTTAAATCACCGCCAGAGCCCCAGTCGGCACAGACCGGGCAGCGTGGAAGGGCTGGCTTAGGGAGGCTGACCCCAGCCCCACCCCTTCTGCCCGAGGCCCCGCCCCTTCCGGGGGCCCATGTCGGTAAGTCTTTTATCTTACTTTCACCCCTGAGAAAATAACGCGTGTAAAATTGCTGTTCTCAGAAAATGTAATGTTCAAATAGATATCCTTTTATGTCCATCTCAAGTCAGCAGTGAACTCATGCTTTTTCAAAATAAGTAAGAACAAATTGTTTTTGATACCAGATGATTCCTGGAATTTAAGTTCAGACTTAAATTTCAGCGGGAAATATGTCTTTAAAACAAAATTGTTTGAAATTAATTCCTTCTTTACTTATTAGCAAAGACATGAATTCAGGCCCTGTTCTATCAGTAGCACTTGAAGCAGTGTAAGGAATGCAGATCTCTACTCTGCCTTAGGTGTTAGTGATGGCATCAAATACTGCAGGGCAAACACAAGTTTTGCATGCTGAACTCAAGTCTTGGCACTTAAAAGCTTTGTAGGTCGCAGGTGAAATTTATTTATTTTTCATTTTAAAGGCACACAGGTAATTTATTGAAGATTTGGGGTCCCTAAACAGTTGTTATTTTTAAGTATTTCTCTTCACCTTTAAATGTGGGTAGAAACATAAACATACACTCCATTAGTGAAAGCTATTTGTGGGGCTGTTTGTCAGTTTTCCCCAATATTACCTGAAGTTACCGGTTTTGTTTGTCTCTTCTGAAGGCCATCCTCCTGAGCAGTGATGGACAGAACCTCGTGACTGGGGGGGACAATGGAGTAGTGGAAGTGTGGCAGGCTTGTGATTTTAAACAGCTCTATATTTACCCTGGCTGTGATGCTGGCATTAGAGCAATGGACTTGTCTCATGATCAGAGGTGAGTTGCTGCATTAGAATTAAAATCATCCGGTAAATATTAAACAAAACTATTAAATACTGTTTCCTTGATGTTAGCATGTTAAACTACTGTTATACTTAATTTAAAATATGTGATACAACTAAGCTCTCAGTTATTTCCTGTTGATCTAGCTGAATTGACATTTTAGGCTCTGATCCTATAGGCACTTCTACATCTGCTTAACTTTAAGCAGACACATAGTCCCATGCACCATTTCCTCCCTTAGTGTAAATCAGGAAAATTACATTGACTTCATCTGAGATACACTGATTTATGGCAGCTAAGGATCTGGCTTGATTGCATATGCATAAGTGTTTGCAGGATCAGGGCCTGAGTGAGTATTGTATTATCATTGGCCAGTGCAGGGATGTATGAGCCTGATCTCTGAATCTCCTATTTTAGTGTGATTAAAATGTAAGTCTTAATGATGTATTTATACCGGGTTGTAAGTGGGTTTAGTTTTTGCGTCATTTGCCAGTATGGTGTTTGTCAGCAAAACTCACACTCATGAAATGTGAAGAATACATAGATTTTTAAAAATCCTATAGTATTCATTTCAGCTTATTTTTCTTACACTTTTTAGAATTTTTATACTATGTGCCACTGTTTGATACAACACCAAAAATATCCATACATCAAATACCTACTCAATTTATTTGTGTTTCATTTGATGATCTGAAAGAAGATTTCTGTCTCAGCCAAATCAAAACTAACTTACAAAATGAGGCTTATTTACTCTTGGAATTCTGCCAGTTTATGTTACAGTGCTGTACAGCGTTCTATAGCTTCTTGTTTACAATAAGCAAATATAGCAGATTCTTTTTACTAGACTAATTTCTCTATCTTCTGATTCTAATGCTGGGTTCTGAAATCCCATTTCAGCAATGCACATAAGCACAGGCTTACTTTCAGCACGATTTAAGTGGGACGGATAGAATGCATTTTGTATTGTTTGGTATCAGCAATTGGTTGACATCCAAGATCCAGTTGTAGGAGGCAGATAAGAAAAACTCAGACTCACAATTAAAGGAGTCAGTTGTAACTAGAAACTCATCACAATTACTTCTGCTAAAGAAAGAAACTAGGAGTATATTCAGTATGAAACTTTTTAAGAACACCTAATTAGCGCAATATGCATTTATATATAACTGTCAAAGAGAAGCCCCTGTTCTGTTGCTATTTTTAATATTCAGCGTAACCTGCAGTTTTTGAAAGTTAAAAGATGACTAATATATGGGTAAAAAATGTAACAAGTTCAGTATCTATCTTTTTACCTTTTTCAGAACTCTGATTACTGGCATGGCTTCTGGTAGCATTGTAGCTTTTAATATAGATTTCAATCGGTGGCATTATGAGCATCAGAACAGATACTGAAGCTGAATGAAGAACTGAAAGCCAAGGTAAAGCTGAGAGCACAAGTGCTACAATGAAAGGCGTAATCTCTGGTGGAAAAACACGTCTGCATTGACCTCCGTTGTACATTCCATTACACCCAGCAATAGCTGTACATTGTAGTCAGCAACCATTTTATTTTGTGTGTTTTTTCACAACTGAACACCAGCTGCTGAAAAGCAAGCTTGTATCATGTAAATTATATGAATTAGGAGATGTTTTGGTAATTATTTCATATATCTTTGTTGATTGAGAAAAGGTAGTAGGATGCGCCACAAGAGACTTTCGAAAATTCTGAGGAACCTTGTGTCCAGTTGTTACGATGTTTAGTCTGTGAATCTAACATGCATCCCATTTCCAGTCTCTTTTCAAGCTGAGAAAAAAAAAATATGTTTGATACTTTGTACATCAGATGCACATCTTAACTTTGAAGGGATACTTTTGTAAAAGTAAAACCTTGTATAAAGAACAAAAATGTTTCTTAATTTTATTGTGGAGTTACAACTTGCATGTACTTTAAACCTGATGTCTTGATGGAACAGGGGTATTCACACAAATCAAACTGGAGATCTGTCTAAGGGTGCAGCTTGCATTAAAGGGTTGAATTTGGGTGCAATCAGTAATTTTGACATTTTCACCAAAATATGTTTTTCACTTTTTAAATCTAAACTCATTCTCTTCCAAGTGGAGTTTTGCTCATGAAGCATTTGGATAAGAAGCCATCATTTGCCATACTTATACAATGAAAGTTAAATTCTTCCCTTTTAAACTTATAGACAAGTCAGAAAGGGAGCATAGTGGAAAGGTTCTGATTTTCATTATATCAAGAGTCTTGTAATGCTCTTTAGTGCTTAATGACTCCCAACAAGGCAAGAGTGCTATACTTCTGGATTCATCACATTTGGCATATGGTCCACTGAGGGAAGAGGGCCTCAGTTACATTTTTCTCTTATTTTTCCTCTGAATAGCTTGGTTTGTTTAACAACCTTAGCTTTTATTGCAAAGATAAGTTATTCTTTTAGGTTCTTCTGAAAATCTCACCGGAAGTCACATTCTCAGCCTAAGGCACTTCATGTTTTACAGTACTGTAATGATGACTATCAGAATAATTTTCCACACATTGTACTGATCAAATTACACACCCAGGGGTATATACACTTTATTTCATGTTTCTTCTTTGTATATTTGGTGACTGTATTGTCATAGATGTACATATTGTGTCGGTAGGGCTATGAGGCATGTAACAGGAATGTAATTTTCTCAGAATTTACACTCACTTGCAGTCATTTATTTAAAATGATAATGGATTCTTTGTATTGGCACTTTGCACCAGAAACATATCATTATTTATTGATGTGATTACTTATTTGTTATTCACCTTGTATTAGTAAGTTTTAGCACTGAATTCCTTCTTCATTGTTGTTTGTATTTAAAAGATTCTGAAATCATGGGGAATCAACGTAATGATTAAGTTATTCATCACCAGTCTGTAAGCAATATCTTGAGTTTATAGCTTAGAATTGGGAGAATACTGAACATCTGGAAGACAAGTTCATTTCATCTTGAGATCATGGTGAAATATTTTGGATATATAAATTCCTTAAGCTATTGTAACCATGTTTTATTGCAAAGATGTAAAATATGCCAGATGTGTGTGAGTTGGAAATCCAAAAAAGAAAAATAAAATATGCAAAGAATTCAGTGATTGTTTTTTATTTCATTGAACTTTTCATCAAAACATCCACATCGTCACTGGAAATAAATAATAGTTTTAAGAAATGTTCTCTATTATAATCAGTGTCTA